TTGTACTTCAGTCGTGCATATACAAAGAGAGAGATTTTTCGGTCTACCGATCCACATTCAACCAGCTGCTGTCTGAGGTTATTAGTCGACCAACGTTTTTGCATAAAGACATATCCATACGAATCATCCGTAAAAACTCGTACAATCCAGTAGTTCTTTCAATTCGTTGAACTCACATTCAGCCTGATTAATATTCCGATTTACAAACTTAACTTCCTCTCTTCTTATATATATGTGTAGCCTATATGTGTGTGTGTATATATATATATAAGAGAGACACTTCTTTTTTTGTTATTCGTCTGGAACCATGTCTCCCGCAGATTAAGAAATGCAAGAATTTCGAACCCAACTCGGTTGTATTTATTCAAATTCAATTTTTGACAGCTGTAAAAATTATTCTTTAAATTTTAACTTTATCAAATCTAGGCGTGTTTTCGGGGGTGATTCTTTATAGAATGTTCCCACTTAGTTGTGTTTCTTTTGTCGGGTTTAAATTTACTCGGTTGGTTGAGAAATTGTTTTTATTAAGTGATTATTTATTAGAATTTCATGTTTTATAGACAGGATGCTATCTCTTGTTATCGATCCACCTCTTCCTGGCCCGAACAGAAAGGGTTAAAGACATCCAGAATATTAATTAATTATACCTAGAGATGGCCTCGACTTCCTTTAGATACGAAAGAAAGTTGCCTGAATTTTAATCTCGTTAATCAGTTTATGTGTCTGAAATAATTCCAGTGATAAAATTTAAACCCCTTTTAACATTTATGACAATAATTAACTGAATGATAAGATTTGTTTCTGTTTTTTCAAACCCGAATTTATTCCATTCTGTCTAAAAAGCTGAGTTTATTAAGCTTTAAACTTATTTAAAAGAATTTCTTTTTATTACTTTATCTCTTCCCGTATAAATATAAAGAATTAAAGGTGTTGAAAAAACTTATTGATACCTAAAGATGCCTCAACTATCTTTAACATAAAGAAAACTGTCCGAATTTTAATTTTTACATCCTTGCTCATTAATAAATCACTAATTGTGTTTGGTATGATTATAATGATGATGCTTCTCGCTTCTCCCTTAGTTTCTTTTTATTTATAAAATGTACTGAGTTACGTTTCTATAACAATTGATTGAAATATGATGTCTCCTTAAGGCTTGTAAATATACTAAAATACATTTTTTAAGTATTATTACGTGAAAAACCTTACGTTCTAACGTAAATCAAGACAGTTTCCATTTATCGCCTCCCTCTTCCTGTCTAAACTAGAAGGGTTGAAGCCATGGAGAATGTTAATACTACCTAACTAAGGCCTCATCTTCCTTTAAATGTAAAGAAAACTGCATTAATTTGTCATTAAAATTTAACTAGTCCATCCTACGCGTTTAAGAACTCAGATAACGCGTTTAAGAAGAGGTTTCCATCTTTCTTCCAGCTAAAAACCATTTAAAATTTTCCAGAATGTGTTCTTGAACGAAACTAGAATCCAGTTATCTTTCATTTATTGCCTTACCTCTCTTCCTGTCTGATTTAAAAAGGGTTAAAGACATGGAGAATATTAATGATACCTAACAATGGCCTCAGCTCTCTGTAGATTTAAGAGTGTCTACATCCCTCCTAATTGCGTTAAAACAAAAATATTTTCAGTCTGGCATCGACAAATGACGTCTACACGTCATCCGGATGACATAAATGACCCGAGTGCTCATCTGTAACATGAAGGGGTTGAAATCTAAAGGATCGCGTGCCGAATCCTATTTGTGGCACATCCGTTTTGCGTGGGAAAGATTGAGTTAAGACGAAACGTAGACTGGGATACCTTTTATGATACTTATTAATTCTTTATTTAAAATAAGTACGAATTAAAAACGTGCATATTAAATGAGGTAGACCTATCTAATCATGATTTGCAATCGCGTGCAACCAAAGGTTACAGATGAAGAGGGGAGGAAAAAATTGATTTTATCCCATTAAAGATCTTCGTGTAGCGTTAAAAATTATATATTAACATCAAAACATTTCATTAGTTCCACTTCTATATTTATAAATTAATAAAGGGTAAGTGTAATGCCTTTATCTGACATCCTTTCTAGAATTTCCCAATATGCTCTTAGCATTGCTTATAAAGTTAAGTTGTGACACATAAACATAGAATTGTAGTTCTAAATCATCTATAATCCCGTATTTAAAGCGGGGATTTCAGAAATCGAGAGCCTCTCATCATATTTTTAAATAATAAAGTTTAAAAAAATATATATATATATCCTCCCTTAATACATTAGGAATTCAATGGAATGAATAATTTGTAATAAATGTTTTTGACACCCTCGTGAATGTGAGGCCCTGCCTCTGTGTTGATTTTAGAGGGTAGACATTGATAATACTCCTCGCTAGTTCACTAGGGGTGAATTAGCGAGAAGTATAGTCTTATGCACTGTATAGAGTGATACAAAGTTCAGTTAATGCCAAGGGTATAGTCTCATACACCGATGTAAACGGTGGTGCAAAAGTCAGTTAATCACGTATTGTGTTTTGCATCCTTGCGAAAATAATGGCAAATTGAGTATAGAATAGTAATTTTGATATACAAAATTGATGGCACGATAAATCATGTTTACATCAATGACTTCGAGAAGACAGATGGTTAGTCATTACAGTTAACTGAGTTTCGGGCCAGCCCGTATAATTGCGAATTTCGATTCACCTAGTGAAATTTAGCCTAGAACTCGTCATACAATTTATCTAATGCATTTATCTAAGTTGGTGTAATTATGTTTCCGTATGTCGATAGAAGATAAGGCAACGGAAGTAAAACAATAGTTCTTATATCTTATTGTGCTTCTGGCTATGGTTGGGGAGAATTTAACAGGAAGGGCACACAGCAACCAAAAACTTCATCCAGAAATCTTTATATTTTGTTTAATTCGCATCAATTTTCATAACTGAATTTTTATAACCATATTAATTCGTATTTTTATGTGCATATTTTATAGAGATACACATCTGATTACAGTGAATCCTCTAAGATCTATGTTTAGTGGACCTGTAAGGATACAATTTCGAGAATTTATCAAGATTTCCCTACTGAATAAATATCTCTAGGCTTCGGTAACATTTATAAAAATCATTTAAATATTTATATGTACCTTGCTTAAATACCCTCGGGGACTGAAAATATAAATATTACCACTCTATATTAATTCAAAAAAATAGAAATTTTCAAGTGAAAATCTTTTATAACATGAATACTTTTTTCAATAATAAAATATTCTTGAAGGATATAACTATATTTGAATACAATTATTAGCCCAGGCTGAGAATTTAAACAAATGATCTCAATGTTAAACATTTTCATGATTTGTAATCCTGAAAATGCTCCAAAATTTCCTGTGGTAGTTTTAAGTTATGCTACGATCTGGATTTTCTAGGCCCTTTTATGTAAGTTTATATAAAATTAAACTTGTATCATTGTAAAGTGTAGAATCCTACTAGATTCCAAGATAGTGTCGACAAGTATACAGTACTTTACTATACATTTGTGTGTGAAAGACACCTAAAAGCGCGAATCTTAGGGTCTCGCTCTTTTAGGGGGCCTCAGACCTATACAGATAAATATTTGTCTATGTTTATGTTTCCAATGACTAAAATTGCTAATAAAAATACCCCTTAACAAAGTGAATTGCTAATTAACTTAAGGATTATTTTATGGGAATTTTACAATATTTCAAGAACCATGTATTGAAAATCTGTTAGTTTAGACAGATTAAGAACCAAAAATTTAATCGCAGAGCGTTTGAATATCTAAATTAACACACCTACACAGCATAACAACTTATTTTAAAAATGCTTAATTTAAAAGCTCAAAACAGTGTAACAAACGTTGACATATCGATAATCAATATAAAAGAATGAAGTAAAAGCGTGCACGAATATATTTTGTTTACTTTTTTACAAAGAAAAAAAAGGACAATTAAATCATAAAAATAAATTATAGAAAGAAGAAAAAAATCGAGAAACAACGGTACGAGCCGACAAACGACGTGACGTTGGATACAATTAGAATCGTCAGTATTAAGTTCCGTTAAACGTCACACGTCACTAACTAGCTGACAAACGTTAATTACGTCGTTTGACGTGTTTAATGAACACATCCACGCAAAGTGGAAGGACGTTTCAGAAAAGCTGTAGCACTCCTAACACAAACTGCCATACACCTCTCTGTCAGTACAGATGTAATGACAATCATTACCTATTAATGTTACAAGATTTAGTTCTGTAATGAGTTGGCTTGCTATGTTCGCATAATAGCATTCGTCTTGTCTTTAACACTCCTCTATACATTCATCTAGAATATTTTTTCTTTTGGCTCTCCCCCTAAATCTTCTCCTGAAACCTCCAAAATTTTTGTTAAACTACACCCATTTTTTGAGCCAATTTTTATAAATTATATTTTGATTTTTTTAAATATAAATTTCTAAAGAAATTTTTTTATAATTATAATGAATTAATATATTTGGAGACTTGTTTTAATGACTAGAAACAGTCTGTAACTATTAAGTGGTAGGTGTGAAGTTTGTGTGTTTGCTGTCTGTGGTAAGAATGTATTTATAAATTTTCTCTCTTTCTAATCATGTAAATTACTGTATACTACATTCTGTTTACTACTTTATACTGTATTCTGTATACTGTATTTTATAAACGATATTCTGCTTACTAAAAGCATAGAGAAAGGCGTTTTAATCTTCAGATTAAATAAATTCAAAATCTCCAATTTAATAACAAATTTTAAATTAATTAGCTCTTAACTTATATTTTCTTTAATTCAAAAAATCCTTTGTATATATTCTATTACTTACAGTTTTCTTTTTAATTTTCAGTACATAATCTCCGACTTTCAAGCTTCAACTCTTTATATAATAGGATCAATACAAGATACTGTACAAAGTGGTTACATTGAAAATAATGTGAAATATACTTCAATACTTTTAAAATGTTGGCTCTATAAAAATAAAAAATAATTAAAAATAAATGTAGATTTAAGTAAAATGTATAAAATTATATGATGTGAAATATATAACTTACAGTAGGAAAGTTTTTACGTTTAGACAATGTAACTATCTTCAACTGTAAATACATCTAAAAATAATGAAAGGAAATAGTACCAAATATGAAAAATTCCAGCAACAAGTTGCTTAACTTTCCCGGCAACGTTTGGTGGCGCCGTCTGTTGCGTTATTTTATTATTAAAAACTTTTTATATTTTTAGGTTAATTTTGAGGATAGGAATTGGTTTTATAAAAAATTCTAAATGCTAATAACGAGTAAAATCGTCATTAAGTCCGAACCTACTCGAGATATACACGACTCTCTTTATCTTCCCACCCCCTCAATTTTTAACCGTCAAAATTTAACAGCATCAATCCCCCTAATATACAAACCTCCTTGCAAAATTTCAGAAAATTTCGGCAAAAAACATATGAGTTATTAAGTTTCAAAGAAGGTGTACATAATCGTGCCCCTTACACACTGGCCTTCATACATACAGAAATTACCCCCGAATTTTTTTGAATATCTCGACGTCTCGAGGTCCCTTCAGTCCAAAAATCTTGGGAAGTCATATTTTGAACGATGGCTATACTTTTCCTCTGTTATAGGCCTATATAACAGCCGGGAAAATAAAAAAAAAAATTATTTAAAAAATATAAAAATTTAAAATGTATTAGCATTGTATAATGATAGTTATGTAATAAACCTGAATCAATATTGTGTATTGATATAGTGAAAGTAGTTTTAATAGTTAGTAAATAGAAGTGAGGTACGTGCATTGATCGAAAAAGACTTGTTTAAAATATATTTAATAATAATAAACAAAGTCCAAATGTTTATAGTTACATTTAAGGCACGATAAAGAGGGCCAACAAGTTAATTTAGCACATTTTCCGAATAGAGAAAGGCCCTAATGCTAATGTTATATGCAAAAGCACGATACAGAAGAGCCCTAATGCTTAGTGTTTTATGTAAAAACAAAATACAGAAGGTATATAAATTAAAAATGAAAATAATAAACTGATTTTTTAGTATAATTACATATATTATATATCAATAGACTGATTATAAAGTCAACAATTAAATTATTTTTAAAGTTTACAACAACGTTTATTACCAGAAGAGAGAAGTCTATTATTTAGTTGAATTTTCTTACATTGTTAAGTCTTAATATTAGAAATAATAAATATTTTAAAATAAAAATTATGATAAATTAATAATTCAGTAAATTTCTTATTAAATCACTCATTTTATACATTTATTGAGCTTTACAATTGTTTATAATGTGCTTTTTTGGGTAAATTCTAAACCAATTTTTATGGTAATTTTTCTAAATAAGAAAAATTACATAAAAACATTAAATTATTTCAAATATATGTTAAAAATATAAATTTTATATACTTAGAATATGTTTAATGTATGCTTAAAATTTTTTTAAAATGTAATTTTTAGAATTTTTGTGTATACTATTCAAAGTTACTGTTATTGGTACTTAATAAAACTTTTAAAAATAGTATAGAAATGAATTGCTTTTTATTCTATAAATGAAAAACAAGTTTATTAGCAAAATTCGAAGAATTGTTTGTTTATTCCTATAATTGCCCACTCTTGAAAGTGTTCCAGTCATTCTTACTAATACGTTTTCTCCAGTTAGTAATGGCACTAATAATAACATTTATAAAAATAGGCAAACATGTAAAATAAACAGTAAAATTCGCAAAAGTAAAGTGTAACTAATATCATTAATTAAAAAAATATCCAGTAATGAGTTGCGTAACTTTCCCGTCAAAAAAGTTAAAATTGAGTGTGGCGCCATCTGTTATGAGATTTTATTGAAAGAACGTTTTATATTATTAATTATTTATAAAATGGCAAAATGTATAATTTTCGCGATAGGGATGGGTTTTATAAAAAAAAAATAGTAAATGCAAAGTCCTACCCAACTCGAGATACCACACACGACCCCATAATCTCCCCACCCCCTCGACCTTTAACCACCAAAATTTAATAGCATCGATCCCCTAATAAATAAACCTTCCTGCAAAATTTCAGAAATTTTCGACTAAAGGCATAAGAATTATTAAGCTTTAAAGTTGGTGAACAAAATGGTGTCTCTCCGAACACACAAACATACATTTATCATTATTCCATCAATATAATTAATGTAAATTAATGTTTTCCTAGAAAAATCTTAGATTAGAATAAAGTAAGACTAGAAAAATAACTAGAAAAATGTCTTGTAAAGTTTTCCTTTAATTTTATTTTTGTCTAGGAAAGTTTACGTTACAGTTCAAATGTACAATGAACTATCATACGAGGAGCTGTCCATTAATTACATGCATGGCATAAGGAGGAGGAGATGGCGAAAAGTACAGTACATCGTTGTACACTGCGAGAAGAAGGAGGTCGAGGTATTGTCTATATGAACTTTTCGTGATATTAGTGGCATATGAATTCATTATTGTAAATCTCATGTGAATAAACCATTACTTTAAAACGTTCTGAAAATAATTTCAAAGTTATTTTTTCAAAATCAGAGGATCATAGAACTATTATACACGTAATTAAAGGGAAGAGGGTTTGCCAAAAGTACAGCACATGTACACAATATGGAGGGAGGGGATCAAAAACTGCACATAAAGTCACGAAAGGCTCCTAACTTCCTTCATGAACAGCACTGAAACCGAAACTAAAAACTAAAGCTTTCATATACAGTTCTAGAAATGTTATTAAACATAAAAAGAGCATATTTAAACAGAGTATTTAGTGAATATTTGAAAATTTCAGCCTTCTAAGATATGATAGGCTTATATTTGATCATATCAATATCTAAAATGAGATTAATAAAAGTAATTTTCTCTTAGACTTATTAGTAAAATATTCAAATATAAAATATTTAAAATTATTGTAGATAATTATATATAATTAAAATATCAAGAATGGAGAGATACGAGAAAGAAAATATTCTAAATATTTGATTAATAAGGACATTTGTAGACTAAAAAAAAGGCGATGAATTCAATGAAAAATAATAAAGAAAATCTAATAACAACCCTTGAGTTCATGCAAATATACCAGTTGGACTAATTAATTCCTTTATAAGAATACAAATCTACCATTTCATTAAAATTCATAAGCAAATTAATCCTTATTTTTACTTTAATTCCTCACTGGAATTCAATTATATAGAAAATACAAGCCATAGAATAGAGTTAAGTTTATAGCAACTTTCATAATCTACTTGTATGCATATTATCGATTTGCAAGAGGATTTATCGACTTGCAAGTAGTTTAAATAGATTCTAGTTAGTAGAAAACTTTTCTAACAATTCGAGAGAGTTTTTTATATTAATTTTTTTACTTTTGCACATTTAATTACTACCTAGACTTTGACTACAAACAAAAATTGTTCGATAAAATGGCGTGATAGGAGAGATCTGAACACATTCTAAACGTTGTAAAGCATGGAAACGGCTTGGTACGATATCGAACTGTTACTTCAATTATTTAACTATTAATAAATAAATATTTGTAACCAATTATTAATGCGTGTATATATATATATATATATATATGTGAAAGTTTTCTAAAAGAGATACATAGATAAATAGCAATTAATAAAGTGAAAGTTTGTTTAATTCATGTTTCCAACCGTCCTCATTAAATTTTAATTGAAGTTTTAAAGTAATATTTATGATATTTTAATTCTAATTAAGTGGTTATCGTGTGTAATAAACGTTATAATTTAGTTTATAATTGATATTGAACTTAGTCACATCAATTAAATTCAATAGAAGTATACTCGTAGCTTATCTACATCTTCTGTTTATTTTTTAAAATAATTTATAGATTCTAAAGGACGTATAAAGTTTAGAAAAGCGCATATATTTGTAAACATCTGCTTAAATTTAATTTTTAAATTAACAAGATACTAATTGGTATGTCTAGACAAAGAAGAAACGGCACCTGTCTAACATTTTTTTCTCATTTAGATGCACGTAACGTCTCTACAAACTAGCAATTCTCTCGAATTTCACGAAAGAAAATTAACATGGATTTTTAAAACACGAACCCTTGTATAAAAAATTAAAGAAAATATACAAATATTATTATATAAAACTTCAAATTATTAAATTTTTTAAGGTATAATGCGTGAGAGCGTCATCAAAATAATGTATTCTAGTGTAGAAGTTTAAGTATACGTATCCATTTATGCGCTGTGTTTAACAAAAATTAGTGTCTATTGTTTGTATTTTTTTTTCCTTTAAAAAATTCTTTATTATAAATATAATTAACTTTCTTTCAGCTCGAGGCATTAAACACGTTTAAAATAGGGGAGAAAAAAAATTGTGTAACATCTCGATAGTTAAATAAGAATTTTCCAATTAATGCGAGAACTCCAAATTAGAGCTTTGAAAAATATTGTTAATAAAGTAACTTTTGTTTAAAGTTTTATTACATTTTTTTTTAAAGTTTGTTAACAAATCTGAATGACTCGAGCCAATAATTAAACATCTGCAACACATAGGCAAACAGACAAAAAAAATGGAGTCTACATTCCTCAACGTTTAAACGTTACGTGACCGAACAACAAGCAGAACAATTGTAGAAAACGTCTATTGTTCGAAATTTTTAAGAGAAAAAGTAGTTTTGAAACGATTTTGACAGACATTTTAAAGCTGGAGCCACTATGATTGACAATAGATAAGTTGATAACCTAAATGATCAACACTGTGCAAAATAGCTGAGTAGAAAGGGAAGTTGGCTAAAAAATCTCCTTTAGTGTTTGACATCTCGACACAAAGTAAAACAAAGTAGATGCTAGATGCTTAATTAAACACATACATTTTGTTTACGACTTAGAAAAATAGGAGGTTTTTACAATAGACGTTCCTTTAAAGGTTTTACAAAGCTTGTTTCCTTTCTGTTCCATCAACAAAGAGAGAAAGATCTTGTACGGTGTTTTTATTCATGAATATATACACTCATAAAAGCTTTTATATAAGAATAAAGAAGTTAAATTCGACTCGTTTATTATTATAAATTCGTAGAAAATTATATTGAGGAAGTATAATTAACTGCAGAAACAGTATACAAAAGGAGCGTAAGGTGAACAAATATGTAAAGAAATCAAGAATATGAACGAGATATTTGAAGGAAAATGTTGGTTGGAGCGTAAATATGATGCAAAAGGACGAGTTAAGTGTAGGGAAAAAAAAGAAATTGCTATGAAAATCAAGAATATGATACATGTTACAAGAACAAGATGTGCATAATAATAAGTTGATATATATCAAGAATATGGACAAGTTATACTAGAAAATGATAAAATAAATTAAAAAAATATAGTTAAAAATATTAAAGAGAAGAGTTGTAAATCAAAAATATATAATTTTGAATATGTTTTATGTATTCAGAGTCCTTATGTACGGATCTAAGACAAGAAATCAGAGATTTATGAAGTGTCGTAGTAGAAAGACGTCTAAAATCGCACCAGAGATTAAAACACGATTCTGCGATTTATTATTACTAAGAATATAAATAACAAAGACATAAAATTTAATATTTAAATAAGAAGAAGAAAGGAAAAATACGAATATTGTAGAAGAA